TTAACTCTTCTAGTGTCACGAATAATTTTTAATGTTAACATACGTAACAAAATAATTTAATTATAGGCTATTTTTAACGCACAGGATGTGTGTGCGTGATATCCTGCGACCGGACATATACTTTAATAGCATATTCCTATCATCAATTAGTATTGAAAATTCTAATAAGACAATCTTGAGGCCACAATAATTTTTTAATTACAACCAAAGCACAAAGTTGACCAACAATATTGCGTAGAATTCACGTGCTTAGCCTCGTAACTACACGCTTACACGCGTACCTATCTGTCAACGTAATCTAGAATGATGTAATCATCAACCGCGTACTATGCTGAACGTGTTGGATCTTTACCACAATCTCGAGATGGCAATACAAGGTCTCGTTATGTGTGGCTGTTCTATCCTAACAACCCATGTATCCACCCAAGATCAAACAGGCTTCGATTATCGTCTACTCCGATCTCCGCAGAATTCCTTTAACGTAAAAACTTTGATATCCATGCAAAGACTTTAAAAATTCACTTACAAGACCAGTTTTTCGCCTAGAAAAATAGAAAGTTCTAAGGAAATAGGAATTTTAAACTACCCAAAGAATTGATAGAAGATCGTCGAAAGAAAAAAACGATACAAGCATTACTGCGTAAAGATGCAAGATCGAATGACATAAATATTCTGTCTTTTATTTCTCTTTAAAAATTGCTACAAGCTTCTCGAACAATTAAAATTTTGTTAGATTCAAAATTAAAAGTCCTCGTTACATGCTTAAAGTACTTTGGCGAGCAAATACGAGCAGCAAACTGATTATTGATCGCGTTGACGAGCCATTCAAATCCCAAGCTTTAGTGATTCCACACTATTAATTATTCAAATTGAACGGCGTACTTACATACTATGCATACTGTTTCGTATAAATCAGCACGGCGGTTACTTGCAGCGTTTATCGAATAGTACAGAGCACACTGGACTATATGCCAGAGGTGGGAAATTATGTTCGTAATCATACCCAAAAGGGTTTTCCTTAGCTAAACGCTCTGCCGCTCGAGTGGTTTTGTTAGAGAATCGCGAATCCGTAATAAGATCGTGTAAAATTGAATTTAGTATCCAATGTAATACGTATAGAGAATAAAAATACAGAGTATAGCCACAGTCGTAAAAAATTTGAGTCGAACAAATATATTTCATTTTATAATTTATAGAGTTTTTATTTATAGTGTGTGTATCCGCAATTATCATCATTAATATGAATAACACTTGCTACTTACAAATCGGACAAGAGTCGCAGCTATTAATATTTCATACCGTTTTAATCCACAACTTTGTTGCATTAATAACTTCTTTGATGACAGAAGAGCACAATGGAACAAGCGTGTCATTTGTCCGATGACACCGCATTGTGGCAGCGTGCTCTTAAGAACCGTCGTTATGTAAATAACGCATTTGATAATACGAAACATGCTTCTTGACGAGTGCATCCCAGGTGCGCACGCATCCGTAGTTTCGCCACGGAAGGTGAATCACCGTGACGAAAGTGCAGGGACCCCTCTTGATGCGCGTATCTGCGTCGAGATACCTCGATTCCATGCAGAACAGAAAAACGACGGCGGAGGTTCGCGCGCGAATCGCGGCGGCAGTGTTTCTCAAACGTTTTTCGCTAATAATTTAGCGCGCTATCAAACGTGTATATTAAATATCGCGCGTTATATACGCAAAGAGACAAAAATCGCTCTTTTCTCTTTGCAATTTTAATGGCGTTCTATATCAATGCGACGAACGTGTCGATCGAAGCAGCGGTGTCTATTTCCATCTCGCAACTCTACGCGGAGACCGGATCTTCGATTGCACTTTTTTCAGGTTCTTGAACTCTTCACCTCGACGAAAATAGGAGAGCCGATCCGTTCATTTCGGAATCAAATTTGCTCCAATTTCGCCAAATGGAGAATTTAATCCGATTTACGCTCTATCTGAGATATTAAAATGCCTGTCAAACTGTCATTTATTTTTTACATCTCTGGGTCACTGTACTATTCTGCTGCCAGATTTTTATGAAAACTTCATTACTTTGATTATTTAATATGATGTGAAGGAAACTTATTATAACTCTTTTGTTTTTCGCATGATACTGTGAAGTGTATTACGTATGCGCTATATATAAAGACGAACAGAGAACACATTTGGAAGTTTTTCATTGATTTATTGATACTTGATTTGTATCGATAATTAATCTCTTTACGCATGATTATAAATAAATGTTATTTAAAATAAATGCTATATTGACGTAATAGTGATGTGCCTTCTGGATGCTTATAATATGGCAATGGAAAAATATCATAGGGTATTGCAGATGATTTTTATCGATGACATTTAATTACGGACGTCTATGATCGATTAAGACCTACGTCGATTTTTAAAGACCCCCCCCCCCCCTCATTCTTGATAATACGCGTTTATGAGCGAGAGACGTTTCTAAACGATTATGATGTCGTCTACTATTAAATCAATATATAGCGATAGCTATTTACATATGTACAGTGGTCCGTGTTAAACACGACAATGTAACAACGCGTGCGGTAAAATGTAGGTATCAACGCAGTAACCGCAGCACGTGCAGCGAAACGCATAGCCGCAACTTCGTTGGGCTTTCCGAACGCTCTCATAGTTCGGCGAAGTATTTCCGATATAGATATCGGTCAGAACTCAGAACGCGTGCCGCGTCGATTATTTTCGCAACTATTTCCCTTTAACTTAAGGCCACGTATTTCTGCTCCTATCTCTTTCCGCGAAAAGAATGGAAAAGAAAGAATAAACATGTCGAATTCTAGCTGCATTTATAAAAATCACTATTGCGTGAATTTGGACGTGAACGTGAGGAGAACGGTGAGAAAGATGTACCACCAAGATCCGTTATCAGCGATACAATCCGCCGACGATCGATGATGCGCGTTTGGCTTAAGATCCTCCCGCCGACAGTAATATTCGTCGTCACTCGGCAGAATGTCCTTCACAATGTTGAGGAAATCCTCAAAGGGACATATCTCCGCGCAGCCTGGGATTGTCTGTACGATCAATTGTTCCGTAACGCCAGTCCATAGTAAGACCTGCGGAGAAAGATACGCGAAAGATAAATTTCTAATATCGAGCGCTACTAATAGAAATATAATAATGATAAAGATGGAGAAAATATAATACAAGTTATAAAAAAATGTAATATACAATTTAACACAAGTTACAAAAATAAAACCAAGTCTTTTCTTGAATTGCTATTCGCAGAAAGTAGATATATCATCAATTGCTTTTAATTGAAAATATATTATTTTGTAGATCAATATAATTTCTATTATAAGTTTATTTGTTGCATGAAATATCATTTACCCGAATATAGTAAACTCCCTTCTTGTCCCGAAGAGTTTCTAGAATAATCGTGGCACCATAAGATGGTACCGCTGGTTCATTCGTTCCTAAAGCATAGGCAAGGGAAGCCACATTGATTTCGTGTGCGCCAAATAGGAAAGCTTTTCTGTCGCGTATCGATTTTCCCGCTCGGTGTTCCTGAATATCATCCACCATTTTGCGAAGTAGTATACCTGTGTGCATAGAGACACCGATTATAATTAAAGTTTATAATTAAATTTTAGTGGTTTTAACAGAAATGTTTAAAATAATAAACATTTCTGTTTTAATCATTTATTGGCGGAACAAACAATTTATTTCTATTTAGTGGTTTTATTTTGTAAATCATGAAGTAAAAAATGCAAGATATCCCTGAAATAGATTATCGAATAGCATATTCCATTTGTTTTAAAGACACTAAATAAAGTTGTATGGTTGTAAATCCGAAAAAACGCATTGTTTCCGAGTTACAAATACTTTCTACCTGTGGCAAAGTTTTACAAGAATACCTAAGAAATATGGAGATTTGATCTTAAGATGAATATTGCTCTTCTCTCCTTTAAGTTTTAAAGGAAATGTTGGAAATAACTTCGTCTCGCAGCAACGCGTACTTTACATTGACGTCTTATGAACTCGAATACAGACTGAATTTATACAAGATATAGAGTATAGAATAATTGCACATCTGATATTTCCGTCTATTCTTTTAGAATCAACAAATATGCATTTTGCACATCTTATGTATTGTATATATTTCCTTGAGAATAAATGCATCAAATTGCTTTATTTTAATAGTATTTATAGTTTTGATTTTGCCATCAAGCAAAATTCTGACGCGGTTATTTAATTTTCGAAAAAAAAAAAAAACATGACTTTTATATTGTATCACAAAGATATAATTTTAAACTGATTTTCATATTTCTTTAAGATAAATAAAATCTGCTATTAGAGCTTGCTGATATATATCAGGGACTTTCTGTGCGGTAGAGAAGTACCAACCTCCGTTTAATCTCTTCAAGGTTTTTGTGTATGATCGAAGTTTGAAGTCCAACTCTATCATTTCTATCATCGGACTCGGGAAAACATTCTGAGTCCATCTTGGCAGCGTCAAATTTTGTGCAGCCTAAAAATGGTTATACGGTGAAAATTCAAACGATGAAAAAACAAATATTTTAAATTTATCACTCTATCGGAATATTCACTTACCTCCTCTTTCAGTAGATTGTACAAATGGCCAACTGTATCCGTATCATTAATTAGTTTACCAGTGTGATCCGTCAAATAGTCCATTACATTCTTGTACTTATTGATCATTTCTTTCGCACTCTCTCGCTGAAGGAACCGTTGATATTCTTCTCTATATCTAAAAAATAAAAGTTGGGAATGATCTCATAGATTCGGATATTATTAGAGTTTTTTGTATAAAACATATGCGCGCACAAGCAGAACACATTAAGATGGTTAAATCTTGTCCTTCTTTTCTTTCCGGATCTTTTTTTTATTTTGCAATATAAAGATAAAATAGTTGAATACAAGACAAAAAGAAGGGAAACAAAGATATCTCAAACGTTCGCATAAAAGAAGATCGGTGAAAGGAGACCGAAGGGAAAAGAGAATCGTCAATCCTGTTATTAGGTCCTTGTGAACAATTCCCTGTGAAGTTACTCACCGATAGCAGTAATGCGGAAACAAGAGGTTGTCAGTCTTGTACGGCACGAAGTACGTCCATGACGGAATCCAGGGCAAGTGCGGATTCCAGGTTTGCTTCTCGGAGGGCGGGAATAATCCCGCCAGAACTAACTGGAGAGACATCTGGGTCCGCGGGACCTCCGTAGATCGGGCATAGATCTTGGTCGGCCAATAATCCGGTCCGAAATATTGATCGTATCTCTCGCGCAGCATCGTCCCAATTTTGTACTCTCGCATCTTGCCTTGCTAATTGCACGAAAAAGAACGTTGAGTTGAACAGATTTCGAAAAGCCGGATATTGGAAAATTACATGGACTCTTTTAGATCGAATTATTTTCTCAATTTTAATTAGAAATAACGATTACTCAGCAAAACTAGGGAATTGATTTCTCATTTTACGTAGGTTATTAAAAGATTTCTGGGGTTTTGGAAAATGAAGGTCAACGCTTATACCTGCATAACATGCAGAGGACGAAAAAAAAGAGATGGAAGATAAGAGAGAGATAAGAATTATGTGATAAACGAGAATTCAATAGTAGCACGTGATCTAATATCCGCTTCAATATACGTTATTGGTTCATACAATATTGAAGATGTACGAAGATAATACGTCACAATATATGATGTTTCTGAACGATTGAATCACGCAATTGAACTGGCAGTATTTGATTACGATGTAACATTTTACTTTAATCGCCGTGATTTGTACTCACATTGGTTAAGCCACCGTTTCCCATTGGGTAATAAGACTGATCGCGATGCGGATCGTTGGGGTAATTTTGGAACTCTCGATGGGGCACTTTGTCACCGTGGCGAAATACCTTCAAAACAGAATATACTTATGTAACCTATATATCGTCGTCATCCGTTATCATCACTGTCACCACACAGACGGTCGCGATAATGCAAATGTTTTGTTACTTGTCTCTCGCACGAAGGATCGTTTTCCCTTAACCTTTTAATTTCTCTCGAAAACTTCTCTCAGCATCGAACTCGCACCTGCGTAATTCACGAAGCAAGTGTTTGCTTTTCAGTGCCATAAAACAGTGTAGAAATAACACTTATTCCACATTTTCGAAAACAAAATGAATACCAAGTAGTTATTCTATCGCATATTTGTGAAAAATCAGGAAAGCGTTAAATCTTTGAAAAAGAATAGGAATTTTTCATATCGTTGTTTAAACACAATCTTCCGAAAAAAATAATCCTTCCTAATTTCACACACACACTCCCTATATACCTCTGAAAGAATCAGATAAAGCTTTACCACGTGAAGCAGCTGCAGCTCCACATCGGGATTGACCGACACGGCGAGGCTGCTAAGAAATACAGTGAAAATCGTTGACAGTGTCAGAAACATCTTCGCGATATCTTCCCAAAAGCACTTTCAGTTCGAACGAACACTTTCAACGCTTAATTCACACGATCTGAACGATCGTCGCGGTCGGAATCAACGATTTCACGACACAACCTACGGATGGTGTGTTTATATTTCTACTCTCGCCTCTCTGCTGGCATACGCGAGTGGGGGCGGGATAAAGAACAGTCGAACAGGCTCGTAATTCCGACGATTTTTATTAACAAGTTTCCCGCTCTCAACAGGCGTCCGATCCTTTTTCTTGACGTTGATCGTCAGCTTCCGCGAAGGACGCGTAAGTAAATAGCAGGAAATTCATAGAAAACCGCAATTGACGATCTCCTAACGTAGGGAATTCTCTCTGCCATTTTTAAACCGAACGTTCACATTCCGGCGCGCGATATCTCATTTATGAATCATATGAATGAATTATGTGAGCCTCGATGTATGAACGATGAAGTCAATCTTATCATTTTTGAGAACTTTGTTTTATCGATTTTTTATAAGCATCTAGTAGTATATGAAAAGTAGCAGTCTGATGTTTTCGAAAATAAGCTAATTTTAAATTGACCCAGATGCACATTGCAGGTATGCACTTATGCAGCGCAGAGATTTATAGAGATTAGAACTTTATCTCTTGATCAAACATGATTTCATCTCTGACGACAATTTTAACTTCAACCAATTTATTATGAATTAGCAAGATTTAAAGATAAAGAATAAAAAACCATCTTTTTTTAAAGAGTCTGGTTCAAAATTTTGTAAAAGATTGTTAATAATAACTATAATGCTTGACGGTGAAAGAAAAACGTGAGAAAAATATTGGCGATCTGCAGCGGCGAAAGCTTTAAGAAAATGGACAATTACAAAATATTATTTCGATGGTATTTTGCGTTCTTTAATGCAGCCGAATATTCAACAAAGTCATAATGTTATTATTTTTATTATCGCTTTATCGCAGAATCGCTTTGCGCTTTGCGTTTATTCAGTCTGTTTTTGAGTTGCGCGTCTTTCTTTTTTTCCTCACTAGAAAACGATTCCTTGCGCACTCATGAATGTGTTGAATTTACGAGTTTTGCGAATGCCTGATCGTTTGAACAGACTTATCTGTATGTACGTAAATAACAAAACGGATCTATGGGATTACTATAAAAAACGATACATGATTTACGAACCTCTTCTTCTTTGAGAAGTACTTTCCAGTAGGTATTGTTCGTTTTGATGATTGCAAATTTTGCTGAGTATTTTGGTAACAATTGATAAATAATAACACATGATAAACGTTAACAGTCATTTATTTTATAGACAGTTATTATATTGTGCGTAGTATTAATAGTCGTTAATATTCTTTCAATTTTGAACAGAATAATTAATTACAGAATTGTATTTATAATATTTCAAGAATTTTTATTTCACGAATCCATACTGGAAATATTTGTCATTGTTTTTTATTAGAACTCAAATACATCGATCAAATTCCTTTTTCGTAAACAATCCTTCAATCTTTTATAAGAATTTGTCAGTTGAAATCCAATTATTACACATCAAGCAAAGCATTAATTTATCAAATAAAGTGTAATTGTTTGAATCGTGCTTTATTTAGTTTTCTTTAAGGAAAAGAAGAGAAATATTGATTATTTTTTATACATATATTCCCATATATTGTTACACATAAAATATGTCGTAAGATATACTTTTTTATTACATTTTTCTTAAACTTATAAATACCGATATTTCTGCGATATGTATCGGCATATTAAATTGATATTAACATGTCGTGCCAGGTGCAGACGTGCGTCAAATCGATTAGATCGAATATGTGTCGTATTATGGGAGTCCCAAGGATATCCAGTCGATTCAACTTTTGAGGGCAACATGATGCTTATTTTGACATTCACCGTGCTACGGAAATCCTGCCACAATCGCATTTGTAATATTAGTGAACGTCATTCGTCTTAGAATCACTTTTTTGGGGACTCTTTTATTCAGAGACATTATATAATTATACGTTTCCTTATAATCATTCAAGTTTGACTTTCTACTTGTTTTTATGGAATTAACGTAACACTACGTAACCAACTGTCCCAAGGAATTCGTAAGAATTCGGGTGTGCCAATGACTCACATGGACGTGATTGAAGCAAGAGGCGAGTACAAAGATATCGTCGACGTTACCGCATCTTCTTGCTTTGCATTCCGCGGAATTATCGTACACTCTCACTTTACATTCGACCGCACGTAATAAATTTTCCTTCTGTAATTCAATTCACGGAAACCAGGAAAACCTGAGAGAAGAGTCCCCTTTTAGACGGGAATGATATTCATGCGCGTAATCGAAGATCCATTTCTGATTGGATCGAGGATACCGATCAGCGCGCAGCGCTTACGCGACGGGATTCCTCGATCTTACTTTTACGAAATAGGTAAAACGTCGAAAGTTGCTGGAATATACATTGTTTACGTAATATGTGAAAAAAATGAATCGTAGTTGCGTATATATTTCACACATTAATACTTGTATCTAAAATCTATTTTAAACAATCTATAATTAGCGTCAAATTTTAAGAAATTTTGGATTATAAAAATAATAAATTTATAACTTTACCTATACTGTGTATTTAATATATATTTTTTTTATTCGTCAAATGTTTTATGTATCACATATGAACTTGTAAACAGAGAATTTTATATTGAAATCCGATGCAAATTATAGAGCGTGTAAAGTAAATTTTAAATCACGAAACATAAAATATTGGCTTTCCTGGAATAATTATTTTACGTAACACCTACAAAAAATGTGTATTGCGCTCGCGAACGTGTTTTACACGAGGAAGACTGCAGGCGCTTAAATCGTATGTCGCGAATAAAAGGACGTCAAGAATTCTATTTATTTCAATGCATCGTTGACATTATTGTATCAGTTATAATTAACATTATGCTAGACGACATTAAAATCGTAGGACCGGTCTGCGAAGTATCTTTTGCTGTTGAATAATGCGTACATATGATTTTCCATAATTGCACAACCGCGGTGGGCTCGATTCAGTCACGCGTAATTATATGCAATAAACTAGACTAGTCAAGAAAGAACCCGTTAAATCATTATTCTGTGTATATATTTACAGACCCATTATCACAGACTCATTAGGTATATCTGATTCTGCAACTTGTACTCCCACGCGCATAACAAGTTTTTTTATCTTTAAAACATGACGTTCTGGAAGGATTTTCCAATGTATCAAAGTATCTAAGTATATTCGCTCGTCAGTTTTTACCATAAATGTACAAGTTTTTTTCTTCTTCTTCCCGCCTCTCTTTCTTTCTCTCTCTCATATATTCCTTTCGTCATGGATGATGACTTCTTATAAAGTGATGAAATTCCACGTTGTAATGCATCATCTGAATTTCCGCATAAACAAGTTAATAATATTAAAATTGATATAAAAAAATAACAATAATTCCTATTTTCTTAACCATATGTTTCGTTATTTTATATATAGTAAAAAAATATATATAAAATTTACTATATAATTTTTATATTATAAAAAAAGAAAACATATCTCGCATAGCTTTTCATGTGTGAGGTCAATGCTGTTTTAACGCAAGATCAAGTAAACGAGATCAAATGTCGTTACGTATCTATGTATTGAAATAATGTGAATAGAACGACTTTCGCGTGGCCTTCATTCATCCATACATTGCTACAACTGCATACAAATGAGTCATTGCAATTTATTTAATGCTTAACCTTTGCTTATGTATGATATTTCTACTTTAATTATCTTGTTAACGAAAAATATAATATTAATAGTTATATTTATTTTACAACAATTGTACTTGTAACTCAAGAAAATAAATAAAATAATGATATATAAATTTTGGCGGTTAAGCTTTTAAGTAAAAATGTTTTCTTTATCTTTAATTGTTAACTTGCTACAGCAATTGACTGTTATAGAAGCTGTTGTAGCAATCTCTGAAAAACATCTTTGTTCTACTATGAAGAAAAAAAATTCTTACGCAAGCAGGAATCGATTGCGATTTAAATTCATAACAAAATTAACGATATCCTGTCTATATGCAAATAAGATAACATAAAATTCATAAAGTCATAACGGAACATTCACTTGAATCTATCGATGTTATCGATAAGTTTTATTATCGAATAACTCTCCAGTATATATGTACGTATGTAGTATTTTTCATGGTATTTTTCTAGGATATATTATTATCACGTAGGAACAAATAACGAATAAATGTTACATAATTGTTTGTTCAAAAGCGTCCGTGCGTTATTTTTCTTTCGTTGAAATTTTAATAAGAAAGATAGCTAGCTTGATTATTCATTAATAATTTCTCATGTGAAAATATTAATTAATATGAAAATGATTACAATATGACTGTTTATTAATTGATACGGATTTTGAAATTAGCTTTCGTCATTTAAACTTCGTTAAATCGTATTAAATCGTTTCCTTTAAATTAACTATCAACGCGTATGTAAAGGATAAGAAATACATATTTTTCTTTTAATAACGAAACACGTTACACGATTTCCAGAAGAAAAATCACGTTTGTAACGTTGTCAGATAGAGACTGAATTGTAGGTGTAACGCGAATAAAAATCCGTGTCTTTATGTTAATGTTAGGTATGTAGATTAGAAAATAAAAAATAAACCGGTCCTGATTGTATTAGTCGTTATAATCAATTTACGATGTCGTGCTATCGCGCTCACGTGATGTTTATATGCATGTGTAATTTTCTGCGTAATATGCAACATAATTTTAATCTCGGTGTTGTATTAATTTTTTCGTAAGGGATAGCAAAAAATATGCATTTTAGATGGCGAGGATATCAATATATGTCAGGAAAAAATTTAACGAACAGTTGTAACAATAACAGTGATAACAATAATGCAATAATATTAGCAATAATGTGTGACGAGATTATGAACAAAAGAAATGTACGAAAATGGAGAAAAAATAACGTCAAAGTAGACACAATAAGAAGTAAATACAATTAATCATTCACAAACAGGTAGTTGAAATATCATTCGATCTATGACTGATTCCGCGAAATTTGTAACCAGTTCTATCTTATTAATAAATTTAAAACGCGTTTCGCTATTGTAAATTTTGATTTACGTAATACAATTA